CACATTCCTCATGAGTCCTATTTCACACTCAATACACTACAACTATGGTATAAATACAGCACTACAACATACAAAAGAGAAAGATCGACCTATTACTGTTTTTCTCTTCTAAGGGCCTATTATGCGGTCTCTGTCGCCATCTTGTGGATGGAAAACATCAACCATCTTTGCTTTTCTCAGTTTGACAGTATGATGGCCGCCGATGCGTTGTCTCTCTGAAATTATAAGTATTTAAAATAGGCACTATCCTTATAAATAAACTGCATAGTTGCAATCTAAATAAACACATTCTTGACTATAAATGCCTTTAAAAGTACATTATGTTGTCCAACAGCAACAATATTTGTCAATCTGTAGTGTCCTCTGCTTGTTGCTGTATGTGGGTGGAGAAATACACAAGGGTGAAGGTTGAAGAGTGTACAAGTGCTGTTATTTGCAGAATAGCGGACAGCTATCAGCCAATCAGATTCAAGAACCATATAGAACTGTTGTATATGTATGTATATATATATATATATATATATATATATATATATATATATATATATATATATATATATATATATATATATATATATATATATATATATATATATATATATATATATATATATATATATAAACATTAAAAAAGATTTAAGTAATTAATTTATTTAACTTGTAATAATAATTGACTTTTTAATGCTTATTATATTATATTTTAAATTCATTCATTTAATCAAAATACAGTTTTAAAAAAAACAGTATTGTGAAATTATTACAATTTGTAGTTTTTAATATATGTACACTACCTGACAAAAGTCTTATGGCCTATCCAAGTTTTAGGAACAGCAAATAATAACTTGACTTCTAGTTGATCATTTAGTATTAGAAGTGGCTTATATGAAAGGCAAAAGCCTCTAGATTATGCTTATTTTACCAAAATAAAATATAATCATGCCTTAATTTTTAATTATTTAATTATGACAGTAAGGTGTGACTTTGCTTAGACAAAAGTCTTAACTTAATAATAAAGTCATCTGGAATAGCAAAGAAAGCATTCCTGCAGGACTCCCAGAGTTCATCAAGATTCTTTGGATTCATCTTTATTGCCTCTTCCTTCATCTTACCCCAGAAAAACAACTTACTTAATAATGTTCATGTTTGGTGACTGAGCTGGCCAATCCTAGAAGAATTTTCCCTTTCTTGTGGTTTGTAATGTATTGGGCAGCCAAATGTCTTGATACCTCAGGCTGTTGATTTTGCCATCCACACTGTAGATCTCTCACATGCCCCCCATACTGAATGTAACCCCAAACCATGATTTTTCTTTTACCAAACTTGACTGATTTCTATAAGAATCTCGGGTCCATGCAGGTTCCAATAGGTCTTCTGCAGTATTTGTGATGATTGGGATACAGTTCAACAGATGATTCATGGGAAAAATCTACCTTCTGCCACTTTTTTCCAAATGATCAAGTTATTATTTGTTGCACTTTCGACTGGGATCGATGACAAGACGTCAGGGAGTACAAATAACATACAATAACTTCTTAAAATATATAATACTAATAAAAATTTACAAGTCAAATAATATTAAACCCCCCTGAATATTTTGACCCCCTGAAATCCTAAATCGCATAATTTACCACAATATCATTCATCAAAAGTCAGATAACACATAGAATGTGAGATAACTGAATATTCCACCCTTTTGTAACAAAGAAAAAGAGACTGAGCTGAAAGAGAGTTCAAATGAAATATAAGTACAGATGACTAATGAAGAGTTTGCCCTCACCGTGGGTTTCTTGCCCTCCTTTAGTACTGTTTTTCTGCGTAAGACGCCCTGAACGGTGACGGCTCCTGGGTACAGATGAACCGCCAGCTCCTCCGACTCTGCAGAGCTACAGACACAACACACACACATACCTTTCAAAACACACACATTACTCACACAAACACATTTATTAAATGAAAACCGCATCCCAAAGAAATGATGTCAAGAAAGTAGGAATGTCTGAAACAGAGAGAATGAGTGAAGTGTGACACACCATTAGAGTTAAAAGGGTTCGATATCAGTCTTAAATGGTAATCTGTTAGCCTACTGCTAGCATTTTCAACACATGGCTAACACATACTAGCTGTTATTACCTTGATTTAGTATGCTGCAAGCATGTTTTTTTAGGCACCATGAAATTGAATATTCTCTTATTTAGCATATTGCTAGAATAAATTAGCAAGTTAGCATTTTTACACAACATTAACAAGTTAGCTGCTGCTAGAAGGTTTAACAATTTGGCACAATGTGATGTAACAACACAATAATTCACAAACAGAGACTTTTTATAAAACCCAAATTATAAACTCGGAAATTACAGAACAGAGTAAATGTGATGTTGTTAAAGTCATTTTTTCATATTAGCCTATTGTTAGCTTTTAGCACATGGCTACTTCATACTAGCTGTTATTACCTTGGTTTAGTATGCTGCTAGCATGTTTCTTTAAGCTCATAACAATCACAAATTTTAATATTTCTAGAATATTTCTCATGTTTAGAAGAATTAATTAGCAAGTTAGCATTTTTTTACACAACACGGACAAGCTGCTGCTAGCATGTTTTAACACATATAACATTAATTCATCCACTTAATATAACAAACGTCACATCATAAACTTAATCACTATAGCAAAAATACATTTAATAAAAACAAAGCCACAATGTGAAGAAAAAGTGAGAACGTCTGCAGGAAATGGAGAGTGAACGAGCGAAGTGTGAACCATTTACAAAGTAGCATTGACTGATATTCGTCTTAAAGGTACCGTATAGTTAATCCAAAAATAAACAGTGTCATCATTCAGTCAACCTTATGTATACCAAAACAAATATTAAATTCTAAGGAACTAAGCAATTCATTTAGACTGGTTGTGATTCATTTCATTTATGATTGGATTCAAAAGGGTGAATCATTTATGAACCTGCCAAGTAGAACTAAGACAGACGTCAATACTATGGTTGCCTAATTTCAATATTTTCTCACACAAAGTTGCTGTACAATTTCAGACTTGAAAAAATAATTATGCTTTCTGAAGCCTCAACATAAAATCTTTGTAACTTTATAAAAAATTAAAATTAAGATAGTCTTTTTAAGAGTTTCAGTTGCAAGACTGAATTGGAACGAGGGTGAGTGAATCATACCTTTTGTATTTTTTTCTCATTTTTACAATGACAAAAGGTTTGACTTTCCACAAGAACAGGAACAGAGCAATTCTACAGCCCACATTTGTTGTGTCTACATTTCACATCCACAAACATTCATATATTATACATTTCCAAATATAATCAACAGAAA